AATCGAAAAATCGAAAAATCGAAAAATCGAAAAATCGAAAAATCGAAAAATCGAAAAATCGAAAAATCGAAAAATATCGAAAAATATCGAAAAATCGAAAAATCGAAAAATCGAAAAATCGAACAATCGAAAAATCGAAAAATCAAAAATTCGAAAAATCGAAAAATCGATAAATCGAAAAATCGAAAATCAAAAAATCGAAAAAGAAATTCCGTAACGAAAATAAACTTAACACCCCCCACTCCGACCGGCATAGCGGTGCGGCGTTGAAAGCCGTGCATCGTCTAACGTCGTTTCAGTTCGGCAGACTTCGGCACGGTGTTTGTGTCCGTGCGATTAGACGTACTAGACTAGCTGCTAACTGCTCATAACTGATTCTATCACTATTAGACACGATTTCTAAAAAATTGAATTTGAAAATGAATAATGATCCACAAGAATCCACAACAAAATATGGGACCACCATTGACGCGGTATTTTCCAGATATTTAGAGGATATCAACTCTCAAACTTATGTTTCTTATTTCAGTTACCATAAACCTATAGTTTCAATGATAAAAATTCCTGAATAACCTACATGTATTGTAAGATAATAAAAATATTTTAAACAATATAAACTTCTGATTTATTCAATAAAAGAAAAAAAATTGTTTTCTTATCGGTCACCACGCTCAAAAAATGTAACTTGAATTAAAATCAAAGAAAAAACTTGAATTAATATCAAAGAAAAAAATACTGCATAAATAAAATAAATAATTATAATTGCATAAGTTGATAAAAAATGCTATGCAATAGCTTTATCGCGGCAGTCCCCGAGTGCCACACGTATTTTTATTTAAATTTTGACACCCTGTATCTAAAAAATTAAGTTAGGACATACGATTATATGAAAAAAAATTATTATTTTTGGCTGGTTAAGACGCCCTTAAAATCAATTTTAAATCACCCTGTATATGTACATTAAAGAAAACCACAGATATACAAACAATATTTCTGAAGTAGCTTTTGGAAAAATTCACGCTTATTAGAATTCCGTGCAGTTATCACGGGATTGACTCGTATCTCTGTTTTTATCTGTCATGGCCTATTTTATATTAAATTTTTAGTGGTTCTCAATATTTTATACATAAAGTTATAGGTTGGTTCATAAATTAAACATGCAATTTTCAAGACAATGCCCTTAATTATTGGAGTCATACATTACAGAATTCAGAATGAAGCACAAAGAAATTTATTCGAAAGTAATAGAAATCATAGCAGGAGTACCACGACGAATTCAAAAATCAGGGGAGTATAAGTTTTAATAAATAACTGACAAAAATTAAATTCTAATTGGAACAAACTCCGTATCAAATGAGCCATAATCAATTTTCTCTCGTTTCTAATTATACATTATTAAAATATGAAAATGAATCGGCGGCCCTACGTATAAAATTGTTACGCGGAACAGAAATCGATCGAAGAACTGAACTGCTCTCAGCATCGTACTTGCCGAAAATAATTGCCAGAAAGGGGACAGATATAAGATCAAGGACGGAGTAAGTCTATTTATAAAATTTATCATCGTACGATATTCGCAGAGACTTTATTACCTGCAATCTGGCAAATCTATTCGTTATTACGACCTGGAGGGGTTCCGAAATTGACCCATTGGCAGAGGCGCTACCATCAGGGGAATCAAATTATACATAAGTACTTATAAATATTGCAGTATAAATAATACTCTCGTCGTCTCTCGTATTACTCACGTAGAATTTACACGATGTTTCATAAGTTTAGTTAGTTTTTAAAAGTGTGAGCATATACTGGGTGATATTACGGGTAGCCTGTCCTGTTAGAGGGGTTCAAATTGTCGAACAGAATAGCTAGTAATCTCAGGGGAATGGGTTCCGGTAAATGAAGAAGAAGAAAACACTTGATTGATAGAACGTGTGATCAGTGCTTTATTCTAACCTTCAATCTGGACTTTCGACTCGGGACTCGGACACCGTCGTCTCAACATCGAAATGGCGGTCTCCGTGTCGGAAGTCCAGTTTCTTTAAAACTGGACAATCTTGTACTACATACAACCAAAAGTGACCATCCGACTTTAAATGTCCTACTTTAGTGATAAGAATAACAGTAACTATAATTGTAATATAATATTTTAAGTTAAATTTCAAGCATAGTGGAAAATTAATAATTATTTAACAAAGAAACATAGTCCATATCAGCAGGAGAGGCATTCTAAGATCACTTATTGTTTTAACAAATGTAAAGAATCCATGAATTTACTAAATATTGGGATCTTTGCAAAAGTCAATTGTCAATTTATTTGATTTTTGTTAACATTATTAACTCCAAATTTACAATACAATTTTCATTTAGAACAGTCTGGGTAAATAATCCTGACAGATTGAACTCAAATAAACCGAAACAAGAAGAAGAAGAAGAAGAAGAAGAACCTTCCGTCTGATTTATTATTATGTAGAGAATACAATCATCTTTTTCATACACTTGGTATAAAACGCGAAATAATGTATTTGTTGCTAGGATAAAACAAACTGCTCCTCTACAGGCAGATATTTAAACTCGTCTGGACATTCCAGCTTTAGGACTGTGTCAGTAAAAGTAAATTCAAGTTATTCAACATTTCCAAAATAATGTGTTAAACACCGTCGATGAACCGTGGTGTTCAACATAAGGACCTTAAGGTGAAGACTGTTGAAAATGCAATAACAAAATTTGGCAGTAGTCACAAATAACGGCTGCTCCAACATGAATACATGGAGGTTATCCAGCTTCTCACCAAAGCCAAGTTAGGTTAGAATAAAATTGCTTGTTGGTCCTATTGATGACATTTTAATAATCTTAAATGGAGTGTTTATAAATAAAATTTTCAAAATTTTGACGATGTTTCGAAAATAAGAAAAAGGGGGACTTTGTGTGTATATACTGTTATAATAATAGTATTACTAAAAGTTACAATATGAAATCTGCGTAGCAAAGTCTGCTTTATACTTCATACCAATATTTATACATATCTCTGTCAATATTATTCATCGGTTTTTATCTCAATTTTTATGACATCTAACGAAGCACGCCAATGGAAAATTTTTCTCTATTTATAAACTTTTCAGGACGGCAGTCCTAATAAAATAATAAAGATCCTTAGGGCTGACAAAATGGCGCTTGGAAAGATTTATATAACTGCGAAAGCCAATGAAAAAGGATTTGGCTATTATGTTTCCACTTTTGGATTTAGCGGATCATCATAATGAGGTGTTGACGTTGTTTTCTTTCTTTTGTTTTTCTTATAAAAACGAGGTGAATATTTTTAGCTGCCTTAAAGAAGTTTTCCATTTTTGTTTTCATAAGAAGATACATTTGCAAATGTTCTTTTCAAATGGAATTAAAACTGAAATCATTTGGGAACAATGTTTGTGTAGTACCAAGTTGGTAATAAAAAAGTTAAAAAAAAGAATGAAATATTAAAGATCCCAAATACAGTGTTCATCAGTATAGCGGGAAAATTAAACAATCAATAAATTACTTTACTTTAGGTGAAGGCGCTGAAGTTGATAATAAGTCATTTAACACTATTAGTAAAACTGAAAGCGTGGTCAGGTGCTCATCGTGCTTTTTATAATAAATTGTCATGCAAATTGGAATTTTTTAGTAAATAACTAGTTCATAAGATTTATAGATTCGAAATTATAGATCAATCAATAAGATTAGTAACAATAGAAAAAATAAAAACAAAACAAAAACAGAAACAAAAACAAAAAAAAAACAAAAAAAAAACAAAAAAAAAACAACAAAACAAAAAATCAAAAAGAAAATACGAAAAAAAAAACAAAACAGACAAGAACAAAAAAACAAAACAAAACAAAACAAAAAAGAACAAAAAAATAAAACAAAAAAGAACAAAAAAACAAAACAAAAAAGAACAAAAAAACAAAAAAGAACAAACATAAAAAGAACAACCATAAAAGAATAAAAAAAAACAAAAATCCTGTCATCTGACCCTATGATTTGTATGATCAGCCCATTCAATGCGATGCTAGTTAACATCGCATATTTTCGGAGCCCATATCTCGAAAACGGTATCCAGTGGCGGCTCGTGGGGTGGTTCACAGTGACAGAATATAGGTATCAGTACAGATGTATGAAAAAACTTTTAGTGTTTTAGAAAGTTTATAATATACCTTTCTAAAACACAAACAGTTTTTTACCTATATCTGCACCGGGATCTATATTCTGCTACTGTGAACCCCCAAAATTTTGGTTACAAGCCGCCCCTAGCCCAAACGCAACAAATTGCTGGCCCTTTGAGCCCATCTGGCCCAATGGTTTGTACAACCAGCCCATTCAATGCGATGCTACCGTCAAGTTTAAGCCCAAACGCTAAATACTATGGGCCCAATGAGCCCAAACGAGAGCCATTCTGGCCCATTTGTCTATTTCCATTTTCGGAAACATTGCAATGCCAACTTGACAACAGCCTGTTGCTCGCTTCTCTCGCTAGGCTCATAATCTCAGACTGGTTCGATAAAGAATCACTTTGCTGACTTGGTACATAAATAACTATTGTACTTCTTTTTAGTTACTTCCTGTGACAAATATTTATGCGATATTAATTTATATAGCTCCCAATAATGTCGCATATAGGACAGCACAGTAATCTGTAAAAGTTATACAGAGGAACAAATAAGTCACAATATAACAAAATAATGTAATAGAATAGGCGAGCAATACGGCAAAAAAGTTACGGTTGGCACTTTGAAGAAAAAGGGATAGAAATCTCTGACCTTCAGCTCCATCATGAAGATACACTAAGAAAATAATGCACACATAAACTATTCATTGAAACTACACTGCGAAAATATATTTATTTCTATTGTATTTTGACAATGCTCCACCACCAATAAAGCGTGGCTGTAGCCCTGTTTTACTGTATTGTTCATCTTTTCTGTGGTAATGTAGAGTTTTCGTTAATGAAATATTTTTTTGCATTGTGACAAAGATATACCAATATTTTAAGGAAGACATGCATTAGCATTAGTCATCAGTATCCCATAATAAGGGAAATGTTTAAGAATTTGACAAATTTTTAAGCACGTATTATTATAATTGTTCAGAATTTCTTCTACTACTAAATATTCAAACTGTAATCGCACGAGCCGCCACTGACCATAAAATAATTAATTAATTTAAATTAGGATAAAGGGACACAAAATATTGTTCTTATAATAAAACTATCAGAAGATATAAGACATTTATTTTATTTACAATTTCATCATAAAGAATATATACTCTTTCGTTTTTCATGACCAAAAATAACCTTTAACTTCAAATCAACCAATTTTAATTGTACAACCATATTTTTGTCAATCTTCTGAAAACCAGCTTCGTATACGGCTTTATCAATTTTTTTTTTACCTTTTTTATGTAATTCATTATTGCAATCATTCATGATACATTTCTTGCAATGCTTCCTTTCCATAAACATTTCTACAGGATTTTTGAAACTCAAACAACATTCGTCAGCTGAAGTGCAAATTTCAAAGTCGTACATACAATTGAAGAGAGGAAGGAAAGAAAATACCTTTATCCAAATATTTTCCGTTGTAACTACACGGAATACCAAAAATGAGGTATTGTTTTGAATAAATAACATCACCGTTATTTTACTCTTATCCAATGGTTCATCAAAAGAAATTAATAAGTTATCTTTGAAGACGTTTTTTCTATGTTCTACAAGACAATGCGAGTTTAATTCAGCAATACTAATCGTTTCGTTGCAACTCCATGACACGGGACACGTTAACGTTCTATGGACGCAATTCAGTTCGTGTTGTTCTATGTCATTCCATTTTAAGACTTCTTTGCAACCTGAATATGTGCATGGATAGCTGTACAATTCAGCTACTTTTTCATAAATTAAGTTTCTAGAGGAAATTTCGGTTTCTATGTCTTTGCATCTGCCACATTTGTGTTTCGTGGCATCTTGGCTTATTGTTAAGATTGGTGGTACTGTTAGTAGCTCATTACAAAGGGTACATTTTAAAATTTGGAGAGTTTCCGTGGGTAAAAGATTTGCCATTTATGATCAACTGAAATGGAAAAGAAAAAGTGTTAATATATGTGCAAAAAGTATTTCAATATGGATTGACTGGAAATAGTTTTGTATGTTTCTATTAAGACTGATGATTCTGTAGATTTTTTAATGACTGATGTTTTTGGCAAAAGCCACACGGTAAGATATCATATTCTGTGATCAATAAAAGTAAAGGATTGAATTTGTAAAGGTCCAACATTTTTTTAAATCCTTGTTTTTGAAAAGAATAGTTAAAAAACATTAATCGAATAAAAACATATTGTTTTGTAACAAAGATTTGTACAAAACTACTAACGATATTTAAAATAAACAATATTTGTGTTTATAAAAGAAGTTATACTTTTGGGATGTTAATAAATCTGCAAAATGTCTTTTTTTGTGACAGTAGCCTAAAATAGCTATTTATGTAACTAGTGAATATTTGCGATTCGAGCAGACCGAGATCCCGCAAAATGAACAAGTTACATAAAGCAAGATTTCATAACGTGTCACATACAATTTTTTTTCTAATTTTGACTAGATTTTTTATAAAATTGTTTGATAAAAAAAATACTGTCTCCTATGCAACCAATATTACTTTCTTGTATTGTTAGTTGCATATACATAACTTCTTTCATTTCAATGAAAAACAGAAAATCATATTAAATTATTCCCAACGACTTGAAATGTGTTTAATTACTTGTTAAAGTTATTGAGTTTTCAAAAAAGTGTGTTATTTTATCGAGTATTGTATTTTGAATATTTTCTGAAGATTTAGAATAGAAAATAAGGACCAAAACAACGTTATTGCTAAGTTGTAAGTTCACTAACCAAATTAGATTTTTACATAGTCAACCTTCGCTCCTTTAATATAAACTTTTAAAAATAATCTATATATTTATTTTAAAACCTAAAAAGGTTGATTTTATTTATTTTCTTTTCGCAACTGGTGACATAATGAATTCTTCGTAATCAGTTTCATAATGTTCAATCTGATGCAACTGGTTGCATAAAGTAGATCATTTTGACACTTGCTGCGATTACAAATAAATGTCAGTTTACATGTCAATATTAGAAAATAGTTATTTATGCAACAAGTGCAAAACGTCGAGTGCAATAAACACTTTTTGTACGAGTTGCATACAATATTTTTTCTACGTTCATGCCAAAACCAAAAAATGTTTTATAGTACTGCAGTTGTGTTATCCAAATCATAGTAGCTGTGATCGTGTATCTTTGTTTGAGGCATTAATTTACGTTTGTGTTCATAATTTGTAATGACATTTTTAATAAAATACATTTTTTTATTAATTTATTTATTAAATTATTGAAAATAATATAAAATATGCAATTGTTTTTAAAACGTACCACAGAAAATGAAAAAAATGGACTATATATTTGGCGTTGATTTGAATATTTATGTTTGTCATGATCATATAACGCTGTAGTAAAATGATAGATGAGTGCAATAAAAGTTTTATTGCACTAGTGCAATAAAGACCCATTTTTTTCACTAAATATAGTTCAATAAAGTGTTGTTTTTTGCATGAACGCAGAAAAAGGTATTTACTCTGTTTTTTTTTTATTATTTGAACTTAAGGTGACTGTAAAAGTCAAGCATCGCCCACTCTGCTATATTGCTTTGTGAAAGTCATCAGATATTTTAAAACTTCTCATTAAAACATTAAGCATTAAAGGCCAGCAAAAAAGAAGAAAGAAGACGTTTTCCCGATTAGATCGAATGCACATAAGATTTATACAGAAATTCGAGGGTGATTCGTAAAACGGAATCCCACTATAGAATTATGCCCCAAAAAGCATGGGCAAAAGCCCAGACACATCGTGAAGTCCACTTTTAGAAAACTAAACCCACTATTACTGGCGGTTATTCTAATCCAGGTAAGAGGTCATGGGAAATACAGAAGAAGAAGAAGAAGAAAAAGAAGAAGAAGAATTATCATAAATTATGTCTAATCCGCAAAGCATTTAATAAATGTAATATAATAATTATCCTACTATATTAAAGTGCCAATGTCTGTCTGTCCGTGCCGAGATCTCGGGAAAGAGAAAGCCAAAAACCTTATCGGACTCAGATATAAGCTAGGGACACTTAGACAAGCAAAATGACCAAAATCATAGTACCTACTTTTGTGGTTCCGGAGATATAGAATTCGGTCGAAAATTTAAATGAACGAAATCGCCTAGATGTCAAAGATTACAAATTATGGCCTACTACATTAAAGTGCCAATGTCTGTCTGTCTGTCTGTCTGTCTGTCTGTCAAATTACCGTTGTTTATCAACACACTTTCCAATCAATAAGCAATCAACTATGAATTTCTCGATGAATCAACTTCCGGAACACCTGGATCAAGCATCCTATGAATCCGTAAATCCTATAAAGGCTCCATGGACTCTTAATATAGTATTAAAATAGATACTAGATTTACAGCCCTAAATAGATGAACCCGGTTAAGAAGAATTTAGATGAAAATTATGATATATTTAATGACATTATATAATTATATGCATTTTTTCAAACTTCTTAAACTTTTAATTTGCAAAAATGTACTATTCAAATGATACACGCGGCGCTACGTGTCTTGTGTAACTTTTGAAATCTTCTCAAAATTTGAAGTTTCGAAGAGGCTTGGTACCCCGGTTCTTAATTTTAAAATGCCTAAAATTATCAATCTATTAACGAAGAATTACATAAATTAAACTTTTTTACTTCACAAAAATTATCGGCAAGATTTGTCTGAACAAGGCGAGAAGATATTTTTTAGTTATGGAGAACCTAAATAACGTGGTGGATAAAGGAAAGCTACCTAAGGCTTTCTAATCATAAAACAGGAGCTATCTTACTAAAAGGATACAAGAGAACGTCTGGAGGCCTCCTCGTCATCCATAAGGAAACTACAATTACACCTCAAGCAGTTTATATCTCTCGGAATATGGATTGATTAGAAACAAAGCATCAAGAAACACGTTATAAAGTTTCTAAGGTAGAACGAGGATCTTTCCAAGTATTGGGAACCCTCCAGATGCCAAAAGAAGAACGGTTTACAAAGTAATGCTATCGACACTGCTATACGGTGATTACGCAGTGAAGACTGCTGCTAAGAGTGGTGTCAGCCTATCTAACAGCATTGGCGGGAGAGCTTCAAGGCATTGCTAGAATTCCGCCGATTTACCTCGCGGTAAAGGAGAGATTTGAAGTTTATCTTGACCAGACCCAAAGATAGGAAGAAGGAGAAAGAACGACCAATGCAAAGATGCCAGGAGAGCTGGGAAGCAATAGAGAGCAAAACGCAGTGGACAAAGAGGATAATACCAATAATCCAGCCCTGTTTACATCGCCCAACCCCGTTGTAACGTTGGCTGGAACGTATAAACCGGCAACGCTGATATTGTTCGTTTTCTGTTAATGCTAACTGACTGTAGTGTTCACAAGAACTTGTGGCAAAACGTATTCTAAAGCGTTAGTTAGCCGATATTATCTGTGTTTTGTAAAAGAAAGGATTGAATCAAGAAAATGATTTACCTGAAATATATCATACAGTGTGTGCCATAATGTTTTGGATCCATATGGGATTTTTTTAATATTACGATTGGAAAAAACCTCTGTTTATTTAAAAAATTAAAGTAGCCCATATCAAAGTTGGCTACTGACATTAATGTTCTATCAAATTTTTTTAACGAATTTTCAAAAAATACCGAATTTGACAGCAATACCTTTTTTTTTAGAGTAGAGTAAATTTTCTACGGGCCCTCGGATGACTCTCAAAACTACCCTCTTTGAGTAGTGTAGGGTTCTTATCTACTAAAACTACTCCTCCTCCTAGGTTCGTAACACTATTCTTGAAAGGATTTATCATCGTACGTCCTATGTGGGCTTACATTTGTTTTTCTTCTATTTTATATCCTGCATGGTAGTGCCTTTCTTTCTTCTCCTTTTCCTGCATAATAATTGTTCTTATTATTTTAGTTCCATCATCTCAAAAGTCATACTTTTGGAGTATTTTCATCATAGTGTTATTACAAGTTAATAGCGAACCCAGTACGCTTCTAAACTTAACTTTAGATTTTCCCATCTTGCGCACTCAAAAAAAGTATGGTGTGTCTTCTTCCATGACGTATATACACAGGCTGTCGTTCGTCTTTCCAATTCTGTGTGATAGCCTCTAAAAAGTGCATGTCCTGTCAGAAATTGACTAAGGAAGTAATCTGTTCTTCGGAACTTACAATTATACCTCGATGATCGGTATTAGCATCTTCGTGTCTAATCTGCCTTATTTGTATTTGTGTTCCATCTATTTTGCCAGGATTCTTATTCCTTTCCTCCACTTGAATATTTTCTCCTTTTTTGATGCAATCTGAATCTTTCATCTGCTAGTAGATCAAGTGAATTGCAACTGGTAATTACTTGTAAAGAGTCTGCTGATGCCGTCAGGTATGCCGAAGCTACTCTCAGCAACATTTTCCGTTGGGTGCTGATGATCATGTCGTTCAGAAGAAGCCTCTTGCGGGTGCCAGGACCTCCGATATTTGGCATTATTTTTATCAATGCTGTAATTTGTTTCTCAGCCTTTTCCAGTGTTGTCTTAATATGTTTATTAAACATATATCATCGATCCAGACTCCGAGGTATTTGACAGCTCGTACGGGAGTTATGATTTCATTACCGACCTGAAATAGAATATCGTCTCTTTTTCTCAGACCTCTTATAATAACACTTTCTATTTTTTCTGGAGCCAAGATCAGGTTGTGGCTTTTCATCCACTCTTGGATCTTGAGTAGAGCTACGTTGGCGTTATACATAAAGTCCTCATATCGCGTTAGCCTTGTTATTATTACAAGGTCATCCGCACAGTATGACGATCCTTGGGCAGCTTGCCTTAATACCCCATAATAGAGAACGTGCCACAGGGTTGGCCCAAGAACCGAGCCCTGTGGGACCTACTACGTAGTCAGCTTCCTATTTGGTTTATTATATATTGGCTGATACCAATTACGTT